GGCAATGCGCAAGCTGCCATTACAGTCCCAGGAAAGTACATTTTCCGTTGGAAATATTCCTTTTTTTTCAAGTACTACAAATCGTACGAATTTTCTGAATAGGAAGGAAAGAGTGCCTAAAATGTATTGTAATTGCCATTGTATTGATTGTAACAACCGCTAATCTAGTTTTCGATACCCAGACTATTATCAATATGTTCATTTCACTCACTTTCTTACACATTTCGCGCACTATGTTTCATAAATATTAATCAAATACCTATAGAAAAATGTTAAAAATAATAATGACTAATATGTGACTTATTTTTATATTTTTATTTATGAAATTCTCAAATCAAATTGACAATACAAACAATTTGCGATGCGGGAGCAATATATTGAAATAAATCGTAATCATAAGTATTTTGTTAATTATAAACTTAATATTGCAAAATTTGTATTCTGTAATTTCATTTGTATTAAATATTAATCTATAGATATGTACAACTAACGTACAGCAGTCTGCAACTGAATTACAGTTCATGTTTCACCATTAACCTTGAGTTTCTTTTTGATCATTTCAGTGAAATATAAGACGCTCATAGGCATACATTGTGTAAGTACGGGGGATCAAAATGACGTAAGCCTAAAAACAATTGAGAAATATTAGAAAAAAATTGCTTATTTTTAGTTTATTTATGATCTCTTGACAGTGGGAGTCCCGCATACCCAAAATAGACGAACTGTGTCAATGCATTAAAAAAGTTCAGAGAGAAACACGTCCACGACAAGGTTCTGATTGTATTTTGGGCAGAATTTTCTATTAGCCTCTTTCTTCAGGATTGTATTATAATCTAAGACTGGAATAGAACGATTAATTTCGATTATTAACTAATCGTGTTATCTTCACACAATCTACATCGAAAATATCATTTCCTTGGCGCCCATGCCGTAAATGTTAATTTAGAATACCATAATTCGTGACAAGAATCATCAAAAAGAGTGTCTCCTTCAGAGACACTTTCTCATTAACATTTAGTAGTGGAATATTTTTTGTTTCAAATTGGTACGTTAGTATTTACGTTTTGTCAGTTTCTGAATTTACATATAATTAAGATTTTAAAAAGACACTCCAGATCTTTTCCCTATCACTATTGATGCAGAGGATTACAATTAAATGGAAACACTCGTGTAGAGATTTAAAAAAACTTAATACATAGAAGACGGTGGGTTATTGTGAGTAAATGTTTCTTTGTATTTGCTTCACGTAATACTCTAGCGCTCAATTCAACTTTTATAAACAGTTCACGTGTCTGTAACCACAACATATAATACTTCATTGTCATAGATACCATGTAAGCTGGAATAAACAATCTCTCTGAAAATAAAAAGAAGTTTCTTAGTACATTAATTCAATGGTTTTTTAAATAGAAAATTAAGAAAACATTATGTAAGCGTCTATGTAAACTTTTATTCGTTCTTGCAATACTTTTCAAAAATTCAGTTGTAAATTCAATTTCTTTACGAACGTTTCTTTATGTATATGAACGTTAAAAAATGCCTACGATTTACTATGAGACGGTATTAGTAATTTTATTTGTAATCTTTACATTTCTATTATCTATTAATATGTTTGCGATTATAATTTAATTTTACTCATTTAACTTATTTTTACAGTTTTGAAAACATTGCAGTAGTACATCATAACGTGAAAATATTCACTCTCGAAAAATATAATTTCTAGAAAGTTGTCCGGTCAATATAATTTCAATTTACATGGGATTTTTGGAATAGTTTAATGGATCAGTTTATTAGAAAAACTCAGTTAAAGTTTCAAAATGTTTAATCACGTTTCTTGATTGATTTAATGCAAAAAGTTAAACAGTTTATTTCTCACTTTTCAGTTTAAACAAACTAAATAAAGTATATTTACTTACCAACAGCATCCGCCACAACAACTCATTTTGATGTATTTTTATAAACGTCTGAGCAAAAGAAGACTTCCGTATTTTGTTGGTAATTTCGAAAACCAAATAATCCTGTGGAGAAAATTCAATATAATAAATTTCAAATGTTGTTGGATTAAACACCAAGAAGGAGTAATATCTGTTTGAAGTTTCTATGTTTTCACATTATTAACCAGTACTAAATGTTGATTTTAATTTAATAAGAACTTTATCAAATTAGTTTGCTTGAAACTTTAAAATTGTAAAATAGTATTTGCTTCGTGATTTTACCTGTTCTTGACTAGGTAATTTTGTCTTCAAAAGGAGAAGTTAAAAAATGCTGCTGACCCCTAAGGGTCCCTCTTATGGTTTACTGTCAACAACGGCTGTTTCCATGGATGTGAAAAACTGAAAAGTAGTTTCCATGCTGACTGCCTTTATTGAAAACAAAGAACAACAATTTGCTTCCCAGGAAATACGCATTGCCGCTGATGAATTACTGACTTGGAATATTATTTCAACAAGCCTGTTATTGAGAATTGTTATAATTAATATTCATTTGGAAGGAGAAGCAAATCATGCCAAACATCGGGATAAACGGATTTGGACGAATCGGTCGCTTGGTAGTAAGAGCGGCTCTTGAAAAAGGCTGCCAGGTAGTGAGCGTAAACGACCCGTTTCTTGACCCTGAATACATGGTATACTTGTTTACTTATGACTCCACCCATGGAAAGTTCAAAGGAGACGTTCAATCCGCCGAAGGAAAACTTATAATTAATGGTGCAACCGTAAATGTTTTCAACGAAAAGGACCCGACGCAAATCCCTTGGGGTATAACAGGCACTGACTACGTTGTAGAGTCCACTGGTTGTTTCACGAAATCCGAAAAGGCTACTCTGCATGTAGACGGCGGGGCCAAGAAGGTAATAATTTCGGCGCCAAGTGAAGACGCTCCCACGTTTGTAGTCGGAGTCAATTTGGATGCTTATAACACTGACATGCAAGTAGTTTCGAATGCGTCGTGCACAACGAATTGCTTGGCTCCTCTGGCCAAAGTGGTTCATGATAATTACAATATTATTGAGGGTTTGATGTCGACCATTCATTCTACAACGGCTACTCAACGAGTTCAAGATGGTCCTTCTGGTAAGCATTGGCGAGATGGGCGAGCAGCTGCATACAATATCATCCCAGCAGCAACTGGAGCAGCCAAAGCCGTGGCCAAAGTAATTCCGGATCTCAAAGGGAAATTAACCGGAATGGCATTCCGCGTACCAACTCCTAACGTCTCTGTGGTGGATCTAACCGCCCGTTTAGAGAAGGGATGCAGCTACGACGAGATAAAGAGCACAATTAAATCTGCTGCCGAAGGAGAACTGAAGGGAATTCTGGCATATACAGAAGATCAATTAGTGTCCACCGATTTAATGAGCACAACAGTGTCCTCCACTTTTGATGCAAAAGCAGGCATGTCGCTCAGCCAGAATTTTTGCAAATTGATATCCTGGTATGATAACGAATATGGCTACTCTAATAGAGTGGTCGACCTTATTAAGTTCATGGCTGAAAAGGACGGAAATTAATAGGTGGGGATGTGAAAATAGAAATATATTGCACAAGTCGTATTCAGTGGACAATGCACTCACATTGCGTAGATTTTAGAGTGGATAATGCACGTTTCTCCGGGGATGTGGATATGTGGTACGGACTATATGTACGTACGTATTATATTTTGTCCATTTCTATGTATATGTATTTTCATTAAATACTATCAAATACGTGTTCTGTTTGTTTACGCCAAAATGGAAACAAGCCGAAGGCGATTACCCAGTAAAGTAATATAATTTGTTTCTAAAAACTTATATGGATTTTCTAAAACTTAGTTTTTGATATTATTTAGCGAATTAATACGTTAATACTTCTTGGTAAAATAAAATTGAAAATTTAATTTTGTATAGTGGTTTTGACCACCGGAATCATGTAGCTAACTTTATGATAAAACGTTATTGTAATTAATCTAAAATTGTTTAACTATAGACATATTTACTTAGCAGACGTTTTGAAATGTGTAATTAAATTCATCAGCATATTTAACTATAGCTCATTACAATGTGTCGCATAAAGTATAAATGTTTTTTCTACGAGAGAATACAGGCCTAAAGTTTCTTCACAATTGAAAGCCATACAAATATATTAATAGCATAAATATTAACAGATTTTAATGAACATAAATCAATAGGATGTACTCTCCACAACATTGTACACTCTACTGGTCACAAGTTACCAGTAAGATTTCCTTATGAAGAAACAAAGTTACTATCCAGAAATTATGCAATTTTTTAAAATAAGTAGGACTGTATATTAAAAACTGAAATTTTTGAAATGATTCATGCCTAGTAGGACCCGCAGTAGAATACCTTTCATGAAAACTGCTGTCCACAAAACATATGTAAGTTTCCACAATTCTTTTAAGTCACTGTAAATCGACTGTGATCGGTGGATAGATTAGGTGTAACTATGCGAGAAATGCCAGGAATCTTTGCTCTAAATGTAAAGTTCACTTGATGTGAATTATTTTAGTACGAAAATGAGGTGAATGTTATGCGCTGCAGAGTCTCAGTTGTTTTATGTAAATTGCAAAGGTCGAGGGTCAGAGCCTCGATGCTAAATTAAAAATGTGTGAGGAAAGTGTGTCTAAATTGTTGACAAAGTGGAATTGTGGTTGTAATCGCTAACGGATATACACTAGTACTCTTTTAAATTGACTAATCAGATCCATGAAGTTGGTACTGCAACAAAAGACGAGGAATCAGACAGAATTCAATCGGTGCCCCAGAAAGTTTTGAATGTCTCAAATTTATGAAATAGTTTCTAGTAATGAATCCAAATTGCTAAAAGGTCTTATCTAATTTTATGAAAAAACTTTACTGAATAGCTACTCTTTCATATATCCTTTCTTGAAACATCATTTCAAAATTCGTTCATATGTTTATACTAATAGTTAAACAAAATTATTTTCAATTAATAAGTACAGAAAATACTTTAATATTCCAAATAAATTCAATTTAGGTTCACTTGATGTGAATAAATAAGTTATAAATATACCACTAAATGAAGTACAAAAGCTGTTTACTCTATGAAAATTAGACATCTTAGTACAAAATAAGATTGGAGAATTAACAAACGGGGACGTTAAGATATATTTTAAAGCCAATTTATTATTATAATAACATTTTATACGAATATAGATCAATCTTGTATGCATTTTGTAAAACTCCAATCAAAGTTACAAATATAAAATATAACATTTGACTATTCGTCCTGTGAAAGCTGACATTTTCATAACAGTTAGTAGGAGGCCATGAATTAGTTAAAATACATCACAAACCTGATCATTGTCTACTATATTATTTAAGTAGTATATATGAGTTTTGCGACTCTCTCTCACATTCACTATTTTATAAATGATCTCTCTAAACAAGAAAATTTTACGGAGACGTGACAAATTACAGTTTGACTTCAAAATTGTTTGAATGATTTGATAAAAAACGTATCTAAGTATTCATGTAGTAATGTAAATAATTCCTACACAAAGCGTTGTAGGAAATTTAAAATTTGGAATTTTGAAGAAGAATGACTCAAAGAAGCATTCCTCATACAACAATATACTCTTCTTGGGGATTCCATTACATTTTTACTGGTCTGGCGCTTCTCGATACTACCCCACCTTTTCAGAGACGTGCATAATCTGCGAGTGTATGTGAATGAAACTAATTACTAGATATTCTATGCGACTGAATTGCACGGGTGTTCGGTAATAATGTTCGGCTGAATTGCTTTGTTCGGTAATAATGTTAAATAATATTGTAATGAGTAGGGTTCTTTAGTTAGTACTTGCCCAGTCCTATACTTTCGCAAGGACAACATTACGTAGCCTGCTGAAACGTAAAACACTTTTCTAAAATTTTTGCTATAATCAAGGAAAAAATCTGTCAAGGAATATGGTATACTTACTTCAAATGTTTTTAAGGAAGAGTTATGAATTGTCCCAAGATCATATCTATAATACTGAATAAACATTTATTGAAAATTTGTTTCAAACATCATTTGAACTGTTTTTTTTCATTGGATAATTTGTAAATGCATTGGAAGTTACCTTTATACATTTTAAACAAATTATCTCGTTTCTTTAACAACGTTCCAGCTTAATATGGAAATGGAAGGATAGGAGAGATGGTGAGGTTTAACATGCAAGAGTTCTAGCAGGAGTACGTTAGTTCCTCTTGATACTGATCCGTGGATTATTAGAATTCTGTAAGTTTTTTAATAGTGTTTGTGTTGTTTATTAGTTTTACAATTCTACGTTTTACATTTGATAGTTTTCCTTAATATCGTGTTGAAGATAAGGTAAAATACCTCGAAACTTGTTTGTCTGTATAATGCTGTAACTGACGAATTGTTAGTTAATAAATTCCGTTTGTGGAAGCTCATTTCTTTTCCCTCCCTTTGTATTACGGTTCTCTCTCCATTTGCCTGCGCTCGTGGGAGCGAGGGAGAGGGAGAGGGAGAGGGAGAGACGGGGCAGCGCGGCCTCTCCGTGCCGCCTCCCGCCCGTTTGTCACGATGAAGACATTAATACGCGACGAAGGAACGGGGAAGAGAAGGGAGAAAGGGAGAGTGAGTGGCCGCTGCGCGCCGCCCTTGTTAGTCTGCGCCGCCGAGCTGACCTCACTCGTCCAACGCCCCCCGCCGCCCCGCCTATTTATCGCGCGCGGCCTGCTCTACGGGGCAAACGGCCTGACAATGTGCCCGTGGAGTTTTCATTAATTCGTTGGATTAGAACAAGAGTCGTCCAAGTTTTTGTGTTAAATTACGAATTGATTGATGTATTTCCTAAAAATGTCGTGTTTTGGTAAGATTGTGAGAAATGAAATAAACGTTTCTATTCTGAAACAATGCAAAAAAATATTATGGAGTTCATAAATGTTTTTTTTTTCAAGCGTTCTGTGTATTCGTACGTAATCTGATATTTATAATTTCGTTTAATATTCAACAACTGATTATAATCACAATCATGATATTGATATGATATAATCAGCAAGCATGCTTTACCGGTGTTTTTCCTAACCATAATGGTTTTCCAACCGTATAAAATGGATTCGCGAAAATAATGGCGGAATTTGAAATGATACTTTTTTGACTGAAAATTATGAAATTAAAAGTTGACTAACAACAAAATAGTTTTCATTTACAATTAAAAGATAATTCCACTTGACGTTTAGTTCAACTCTAAAATAGTTGGGTTGTATTAATTTTGTATTTTATTTGTATAAATAAGTCTATCATTGACTTGAAACACTGAACGGTAATGTTAGAAGAATTTACGAATATATTACGTTATTATGAGATCTACTGTACACAAATTTTGTGATTTTGATTGTTAAATGTTACTGTAATTAATTTTATTGATCAAATCAATTCTTTGAATGTGTTCTACCGAAGAATCATTACATTTTATTTAAAAACAAATGTTTTTTAAACGGATGATTTAAGTTTTCTGAATTTTGTCATATTACAGAAAATAAGGTTTTGTGCTTGTCCATTATTAATCATATCATTTATATGGCATTTTAAATATTATTTTTTCTAATTGGCTAGCGGAAATGTAAGGTAGAGAATTGTAATGAATTTGTAAGGGAAAATGTTTTACTGACAAATTTGGTTGATCAACTGAACCTTTATCAATTTAATTCTTCCAAATAAACTAATATTTGAATAAAATGTGAATGTGGACAACAAGTGCGTATTATTTGCAACGATTGTGTTATATACCGAAAATCAACAGATAGCGCTGACGGATCAATATGTACAGCAGGATGTTAAGCGAATTTAAGCGTGATTAGGCTGAAAAAATGACATAGGAATTAATAGATCAAAAGCAAAAACAATAACGATCGGGCGGGAGACGAAAATTCATGGAGGAACCAAGACCTATCATTTAGGGAGGTTGTAGTCCAAGGTCACCATCATGCAGTATTTAGGCATTCATCTAGATAGTAAATTTAGGTGTGGAAAGCATGCATATAAATCAGACAGTAGAAAAGACGTGGAGTCTTGCATTTGTAATGCGAATACTAAAAGAAAACGTGTCTGCAAACGCCAAAGAATCACATATCTCAAGCTGGTACGGCCTCTCATGGAATACGAGTTGCGTGTTGGGGACTCCTTACAGTAAGGCGCACCGGAAAAATCTAGATAAGAATACAAAGAAAGCGAATACGTTTACTGTATGAAAATTAACGGCAACAAAAAGTCATGTGAACCTCTAGAACGAGAAGAACAAAGGCGAGGCTTTGCTCTCTTTACAAATCGTTACGTAGGTCAACCAGCTTGGAAGGAAATTCAGATTAGACAAAATAGAAAAACCAAAATTATTTCGGCCGAGCGATCACAGCCACAAAAATTTACGAGCAAGGAAACAAAATTTAGAGTCTTGGGAAGTTTTCCTTCTTGTAACGGAGAACAATAGAGATGGACAGTTTACCATGCAGCAGTTTTCAAAGCTTTGTCTGAAGTGTCCGAA